CTTGTGACCCGCGACTGCCACAGAATTAATATCAGTGCTAAAAATATGCCCAGAATATCCAGAATGTATAGAGAGCGATGGCAGATGTGACAAAGGACATGTCATAGGTCTGCTTTCTGGAGCAGTTGCTGGAGGCCTTGCAATGCAACCTGAAGAGCCTGAAGTGGTTCTGGGTATCTTTAGGCAACTGGATCCTATCCTGCACTAAGCTGTATGTAGTCAACTGTTTAAACCATGAGAATGTTTCTCTTACATATTCTAACCTGCTGATAAATATTTATCCTCTCTCGGACTTGGATTTTTTTTAATTTCTTTTGGAATCGGCAGATTTGTGGCAGTCAGTTCAGACCACGGGAAATCCGATCGGGCAGGTTGGAGACCAGCCAGTAGAGCTCCCTAATTAACAGGAACATGTAATTAAAATTTAAGCAGATGTGGCTTGGGCAGGTGGTATTTCCTGAACACATTTAGTTTGCTGTGTGTACACACTATATGTGATGGATACAAATAAATACTCTTATCTGCAACTGCGAAAAATACTTGTGCATATGCTGAGCAGTTGGTCTGTGCGAGTGCTGTGCACTCGCCCGGCACTGCTGAAACACATCTCAGCTCTTAATGGACTGAAACGAGTTCTGAAATCCTGAACATATGTAAACATTTTTAAAACTCAGCCCGGACAAAGTTTGTGGGAAGGAAAAAAGACATATGCATGGAAGCCTATAAATATAATAAACCCATATGATGCGTTTCTTGCACTCTTTTTTGGTAATCTGCTACCAGCTACTGTTGGAAACAGCATATTAGGCAAGATAACACTTTGATCTGATGTAGCTTTACAAAACAGTGTTGTCTGATGAACTCATTGCCACTCCCAAAATTTGAAGACAACTACTCAGCTGAAAAATCGGCCCATAAAAATTCCAAAATCATATTTGTTCTTAGTTCTTAACTAAAATTCCAGTAATTGCTTTAGCAACAATTTCAGTGAACTGAAAGAAAATAGAGAGTAAAAATTTATAGTCAACATTTTATAAACTTCTAACGCTGCAAAAATGGAATTCTGGTTATTTTTTTTTAATAGGACAGGAAGTGTAGGCCATTTCCCACTCTCATTGCAGTATAGACATTAAATCATTAAAGAAAAAAAACCCAAACAAACCACACTTGAAGTTCTTCATGATTGAGGGAAAATTTTGTCCCTGTAGATTTTTAAGATTAAATCTGTAGAATCCTACTGCAATTTTAGATTTGTTTGGGGGGGGGTGGTGGTGTAGCAGTTTAAAAGTATTGTCTGATAAGGAATTGTGTCATACAGTTAAATTATTCCATCTTTTGATTGTTAGAGTGACCTATTGTAATTTTTCAGTATCCTTTGAGCGGTGTTTCACAGCATCCCAGTGTATCACCAGCAATGAGCAGCTGGCTTATTTGCAATACCTTGTTCTCTTCTTCAGCAAGCTGTGTCAACAAAAGTGCTGTTAGAGTAGATGACTTTCCATTAAGCTGCTGCAGCTTCATGTTTCCCCATGGTTATCAATTTGAAAATGAAATTTCTTTATTTTGTGTGTGTGTGCGTGTGTTCATTTATCTTTTACAATCACCTGTTAAAGGTTGGTCTTTTGAAGCTGCAGAGGCTGTAGAAAGCCTGGCTTTATTACAGATGTATCTTTGCCTTACTTCAAATTATTTTCCTAGCTTTAAAACTTTGAAAGCTTCTTTTTGCTGGCCAGGACATCCAGCTGATCAGGCAGTAAAATATGACTCCTTGTTTATACAGGAAATCTAAGAATGTGTCTTCATAAACATTTTCTTGATCTTGTTGTCATATCAAAGTGGGAAAATTTTACCTTATTCAAGTGAAGTAGGGTATGCTTTCTGAGTTTTAAGTGCAATTTTATCTGTTTTTTTTTTTTCAGTTCAGGAACAGAGCATAGTTGAGGTAGAGTAGAATTATGTCCTGTTGTGATGTACATTAGTTCAATATCTGATCTATATTAGAAAATAAAGGAAAGTAACTTGTGGAAATTCCTTCGAGAGCATCTGGTAAAGGCACGGTATTATTCAGACTGTTATTGTTATATTAATTAACGTTGGTTCTAACTTGAGACCAAATCTTAAGTCTGTGATGGCTCCACTTCAATAAATTATGCAGATTTACAGCAACTGAGATGTGCGCATTAACTTTGTGATTATTCCCATTGACTGAACCTGAACAGTTAGCTGAATAAAGTATCTTTTTAATGGGAGTAAGGGAATCAAAATTTGGCTGACGTTACTAAAGGCAGTATTGTAAATGGAAATTGGCAATTGCATTGCTATTGATTCGTACTGAGTATGCAGCCGCTTGCAAAAGTGACAAACGTAATCATCCCAGGGGCTTGTTTCTTTCCACTGCTTAAATCTTTCTACTATGAATCTCAGTGCCCTGGCAGTTTTGGGAAGCAAGTTAATTGACAATTTGTAGAGAAGGACTATGAAGTGCATGTGAAGTGTTGGAATTTTTCAGGATGGACTGTCAAACAAACTTTGCACTTTTCTGAATTTGGTCTGGTTTAGAAAATACTGGTTTTGCATGTTATACTTGTTATCCAACTAGTATGTAATAAAAATAATGAGTTAAATGACCTCTGCCTTTAAGTCCATGCAGTCAGCAAAATTATATCAAAGACCAAGTGCAAGTCAGCCACTGTAAAAAATCTGCACAAAAAAAAAAATCTTGGTGGTGTTCATAAGTTTTATCAAAGTAGTCTACTATGTGCTGATTTATTGTAATATTACGTGTGCTTATAATATGCAATTTGATTTTTACATGCTATAAAGAAATTATGGAGTAAATAGTAAGTGTGTTCATTCCTTTAACTTAATCAGATATGTTGTCACAAAAGTTTCAAAGACATGGTTATTTAATTATGAAGTGGAAGGTAACTTTACTTCTATTACGAAGGGAGCAATTTGCTTATTGTATCTTATTCTTTTAATGCTTAATTCCTTTTATTGAAACTGAATACTTCTTGTTGCAATGTGCCATAACCTTATTGGCCTGGGATAAGTTTCTTGCAATTATTTATTCTATTAATGTTTCTATCACCTGAGGGAAATGCGGATGTTCTCTTAATGATTGTGTTAATCAAACAACTTTCTGTATTTCTGCAGCGCCCAAGTTTATGTCATTACATTAGCAGGCACAGGAGATGAAACTGGAAACTTGTAATATACTGCAGATTGGATTAACTTGTCTGTTTTATGTAGACTGCTTGAAGACTTATTTTAGATAATATAGAAAGATTAAATCTGCAAGACAGTTATTCCTCCTGACAGGATCTCTGAAGTCTTTAACATAAGTCCAGTGTTCTTGTAAAGATTTTGAACTTTGTACACTAATAACTTTGCTTCTGTAATGCAGGCTGGGGTACAACATATTTCTTTAATAAAAAAATTTTTGCAAATTTTTTAAATCCTTTGAATGTTGGAATAATTATTTCATGCGTATAATGTGACGATGTGCATTAGACATTTGAATGTAGTATATAATGTTTGAGCCGTTTCTAGGCTATACTAGGTGTTATACCTTCACTTTCTGCCTTTTTAAGGTTTGATGTTGTCTAGGCTGTAAATGTTCTTTTATTTTAAAGGTCTGTTGAACTATAAGATAGTTTTGTTGGGGTGGAGAAGGGAGTCTTTGTGCTTGCTTTCTGTCATAAGCTTTCCTTGGTGGAGTTCTGCCTGGGGTTAGTGCACACCCTGATGGAAGCAGTGCCGGCACCTTCAGCCGGGAGCATTCTGCCTGCAGCTTTGCAGCTGGGTTCTGAATAGCACAGGGGTGCCTGTAAAGCACTTGGTGGGATTCTCAAATACCTATTGCTTGCAATAATGGTTTTAAAAAGACTATGCATTATTTAACCATTGCTTTTGATGTGTGCAAGACAGCCAGGGTATTTTTAAGGTTCTATTAAGGACCCCAAAGCTTCTAAATATAATTGGCCTTTTTGTGAAGAGAAGGTTGTGAACAAGAGTTTCAGGCAGTGTCAGTATCTCTGTGCTTGGAAATCAATACCTCTGTGATCCTAAGTCTTGTTTCTCAGTCCTGAGAGCTTCACAGACCCAAAAAAAAAAAAAAAAAAATCCTCACAAAATTCAGCAAATACTCTGTCTGTAAGCTTTTTCTACTGCATTTGGGTAGTGCTTTTTATTTGAATAATAGTGCTTTTTATTTGTGTCCTGCTTTGCTCGCATAAGTGCTTGCCTACGTAAGTAGGAAAAGCCTTTAGTTGTCCTTTCAGCATGTCTGTACTCTAAAGTTATCTTTAAAATACTCTCTACATCTGGTATCTTTTGGCATTTGCTGGGGAGGTGGGTGGTCCTTCAGTGCCATCACCATTTTCATCCTATGGCCCATCTGGTAGATACTGCCAGAATAATTTCCAGGCTCGTGTCGTATGCTTGCCAAGCTACTGACTCAGGTAATGCTTCAGTGCAGGTAGGAAATCTGAGGAAAACTTTCTGACAGCTAGCACAATATTTGGGGGAACAGTTCCATTCTGTTTAGCAAATTTGCTTTACTTGATGAATTTAAGCCAAACATGTAATTACAACTAATATTCAGCATCATGCCCTCCCTGAAGTCCCTGAACTGTTACTTCAGATTGCGTTCTTCATATTCAATGATTGGTTAAATTGATTCTATATCAGAAACTTGATCAGCACCAGAAATATGAATTTTGAAACAATTACAGTGATAACTTCTGCAGGATTCTTTGTTTTAATTGGATATGTTTCCTATAAATATTTTTCCTTATTTTTATTTCCCAAAAAGAGGTTGCTTCTGTCTCACAATTGGTAAGAAATTACTTGCAAAAAAATGAAGGGTGATTTTTTTTTTTTTTTTTTGCATGTTTGATGTAATATTATGAATAAACTTATGGATTGATGCATATTAAGGTACCAGTGTCTTGGTAGGAAATAGACTAAAACTGTGTTTACCTGTGTGTTTTTTCCAGAGATTTGTTACAGTTCCCTAGAGAAGATGATGTAGACATTGCAATGAAAATTCTGGTTCAGTGGAGTTCCCAAGGCCTTGAAGATGTCCGGCTGGTAAATTACTCTGTTTTGCTTGACCTACCAGGCTCTTCTTCAAACACAGTAACTCTGAAAAACAGCGGTGAGTGCTTTTATCCTAGTGGACAACAGTGCAACAGAGAGCCCAAAACGGTTCGTAGCCAAGACCTCCTGTACTCGTATGCAGCTTACTCTGCCAAAGGAACTCTTGAGGTAATACGACCATTTGTCTCTGTCATTTGTGGTGAAATAGAGTTAGAAAACATGAGCCTTTGTTGAACTTGGCTGGCAAAGTACACATGGTGAAATGCCCAGCCTTAAAATAAACATATTTAGGTAAAATATGATGTGGCCAATCTCAATTCAAACTTAAAAATTAGTCAGACCTGAATGCTTCATGTGATTTTTTTTTTTTTTTTTTAAAGTATCTGAGTTTATGAATTGGCATCTTTTGCTTGGGTGTAAAAACCTGAAAGCCATGTCTAGACCTACATTTAATCCTTGTTGATATGTAAGTGCTACTGGGTTTGAGGGATGCCTGTAGGAAGGGTAAGATGAGGTTTTCTGCAGTGAGACCGGTGGGAGTGCTGGGCTAATACCTGGAGCTCCTGAATTATGGTCATGGATCTCGCATACTTTCTTCTATGGCAACTCAGTTGACACATCTGCTTTGTTTCCTCTTGAAAATCCCGATTTGTATTTTTATCTTGCTGTAGCTTCTGTTAGGAAGTTTTGTCAGCAAAAAGATCCTGCCTGTTGGGATTTGTTACTTGCCAAGTGAAGTAAGATCTTGGATTATCTTGCTTTATCCGCTTTACCGTCTTCACTGGCTGCCTCCCTATATTTGCTTTCCAAATATATTGGGGGTGCACAAAGGGGTCATCATTTCTGTTTACTTCCCTGGCTGAGATAGTATAAATCTCAATAAATATTTCTGAAATATAAAAATTGCAATTTCACTGCTAACTGCATTACTGTTGTCTTTCTCCTTTTTAAAATATTGTACGTTATTCCAATGGTGCAGGGGGTTTTCCATCTTGGTTTCTTTATTGTTTAAAAGATACGTTTGTTTTCATGACATAGAACACTAATAGACTATATAGGAAAAGATTGTGAATGGCTTTGGGTTTGGAGGATACCTCTTCCAAAATACCTTTATATTTTGTGAATACCTTAATATTTATAGCATGTCAGTTACTGAATTTGAAACAGTAAAACGCAACTGTTGTGTACTTTCCTTTTGTTTGTGACAGTGTTTGCCCGTAATGTTTATTGATAACATGTAATGCACTGTGGAAATCTTGTAATGAGTCAAAATGGAAAAAGTTGCATGATGCTAACTAACCCATTTTATGGACTATTAATATAATTTTGAGTTTTGGACTGTAGGAAATATGAGAGCTGGTAGAAGGTCAGATCCTTAAGTTTCTCATCCTGAAGTCCACAAGCTTCAGCCTCTCTTTCTTAAAAGCATTGAAGCTTTTTAGTCTAAGGGATTTATTCCAGAGAGGAAAAGGAATGGAGCTCTTGTTCTCCTTTGGGAAAGAGACTTCTCTCCATCTCCTGTTCTTGTGTACCTTAGATGCCTACTTTCCATGTTGACTCTCATGGTCGTTATCTCCATACAGCTTCTCTTCTGGGGCTCTATCAATCCAACAACTTCAGGTTAAAGTTTGTTGTTAAGAAGTGAAACGAAGTAGGCATGGATAGGTCCTAACCTGCATGATGTAAGCTTTAACTTTTCCATGGGCAAGTAAAAAGTACTAATGAATGGGTTTGGCTTCTCACATTTGTCACTTAGAAACTCAATATGTAATATTATTTTCTCACTGTAACTTAATAAGAGTAACTGTAATGAGATAAAAGTACAGTTGTGGCCTTTGAGATTTATTTCATGAAAATAAATGTGTTGCTAACAAATTCATCAGATTACAGGAAATCCAATGTTCTGAGAAAAATCATTGATGTTATTACCAGCAACACATGTACCACTTTCAGTTATAATTCAGAGCGGTTTTATCTATGATTGAGTTCTGCAGAAATGAGGACCATACACACTGTGTATGTACTTATCACTAGGGGTGTACCTTGGCTTTGGCAAAACTCAAAGCCTGTACTTGAGCCAAAGAGTGACTCTGTGCACAATTTTACAGTTAGATCTTTCAGATACCTAGCACCCTCACAAAACTTCAGATGTTTTCTTTTCTTCTTTAAAAAGTCTACCCAAATTGTCCTTAGATCTAGAGTTTTGCCTAAAGGGCAAACTTCCTTTTTTGTTTAGGCTATGGGTAAATCGTAGTGATCTAACCTGCCTGACTTTCAATCCTACACAGTAATCTCTACTATTTAAACTAATGGAAGTAGAAAAACTTTAAATGAGAAGTAGCAGGTGGTGGCTGTTGCTGTGTTCAGCCATCAGAGAGTGACTTGATTGCTTGCAGTGGAGGTACAAGTTGTGTGTTTTGAATATCTTGCAGTGGGTTGTGATTGCAAAATCATGACGGTTTTCCTGTGAAAAGGTATTCTTGTGACAGCTACTCATAATCCGAATAATATTCTTTCAAACGTGACACATCCTTAGTAGAAAATTTCTGTTGTGTGCCACATAATCAGGTTGAATTGCTAATATTTCTTTGATGCTGCTGCATCATTGTATCTCATTTGTATATTTGGTTTGCTAGAAGTTCAAGCAAATAAACCCATTAAGTTACTGCAGCCTGACTACCAGCAGAGCTACAGCTCTACTTTCATGTTGACAAGGTTATTTGTAAGACTCATTTTCTTTGACCACCTGTCATGTCCATTCATCATATGAACCATCCAATTTGTGTTTTCTGGTAACAGTCTAAACAGCATTTGTGAGTAAAAATGTGAGCATTTGTGATTTGAAATCTACTTCAGAAACCTACTTAGTGCCATTGTGATGGATGGTGCACTTTACTACTTCTCTATAATTCATCAGGCCCTGAAAAGGTGACACTGTTTACCCATCACGGTGACAGGCAGGGCATCCTACAGTTCTGGAGAGAGCTGTCTAGTAGGTTTTGAAATAGATATGGCAGCAGTTATGTAAATAATATGTTGTAGACTAGGTCAGTCTAAGGAAAGAATGACATGTGAAATATATTTTTATTAAAACTTAAATTATCAGCCACCTTTTATAGAGTTTAAACCTTTTGTCTGCTTGATGAAAACAGGAAAGCCACTCTGACCAACAGAGTACATATATAAAGGGAAATTACATTGCATCAAATTTATGCGTTAAAGCAAAATGCGTTGTCAAAGAGTATCTAGCTAGTCTCTGAGGTGAATCCGAATGTGCTGCTCCCTGCCTTCACGGCACATGGTGATCTGAGAGCTGCGGCTGCGTGTGCTGTCACTGGCAGAGCAGTGGAGGGATGAGCTGGGGAACCGTCAGTGAGAGCCAAGGAGAGGTGTGTATAATCCTCCAGAGATCCAGCGTCCTCCTTTCAGTACCGCACTGGTAAGTAGTGTCAATGTAGGTGCATGTTGTAGCCCATCTGTTAACAGACATGGCGGTGATGCCCCAAGTGCGGTGAAATGTAAGTAAGGATACTTGTAGTAAGTCTTGGCTGGAAGCGCGGCAGAAGGCTGGGTGGTACGCAGGGCATCTGGCCGGTTGGTTTAAAGCAGGCCCACTGAGTACAGCGAACTTCAGGAAGAAGCAATTGTTCAGTTTTGGTGTCGCAATGTTCGTCTGCTCTGTTCCCTGTTTCTTTAGCAACTGTAAAGAGAAAATCTTAGCAGATGTAATGGTTGGTGTGTTGGAACAACATTCAAGGACAGGCTAATTAAAGCAAAATGAAGATTGTATTTACTTTGTATTCCCTGATTTTCTGAAGTTACGTTTGTGTGACTTGGAAGTTTCCCTCACCTTTCTTTCACTTTAAATTTATTCTCTTTGCTTTACAGAAGTGTTAAGGAACTTTTGGCAATCCTAAATCTGCTTTAAGACTTTAAACAGAGAGGCTTAGTGTCCTCCATTATACAGTGTTGCCTCAGGTATATTACGCTCCTCTGCCTCTTCAGGAGTAACTGGCTGCTGAGTGCATCAAATCCCTGTTGGTTCCTTTGCTGTTCTCCGTCCTTTCCTTTTTTCATCGTGGAGACTCTCAGCAAGCCCAGCAAAACATCACTTTTCTTTCCTGCACCTCATACACTGAAAGGACTGTGTTGGTTCAGGAACCAGGAGAGTATGCAAGAAAAGTACAAGTACTGGCATGTTCTTGAAATGGGAATGCATATGCAGGCAGGGATTTGATGGTTGCATGGACAGAAATGAATCATCCCCATCTCCAAGGCAGTTCTCCCAACACCCGACTATGTTTCAACTGGCTGCTGAGTGCATCAAATCCCTGTTGGTTCCTTTGCTGTTCTCCGTCCTTTCCTTTTTTCATCGTGGAGACTCTCAGCAAGCCCAGCAAAACATCACTTTTCTTTCCTGCACCTCATACACTGAAAGGACTGTGTTGGTTCAGGAACCAGGAGAGAATGCAATACAAGTACTAGTATTGGCATGTTCTTGAAATGCATATGCAGGCAGGGATTTGATGGTTGCATGGACAGAAATGAATCATCCCCATCTCCAAGGCAGTTCTCCCAACACCCGACTATGTTTCCTTTGTACTTTGACACCTCCTCTGTCCCTGTTCCCTGACTGCTTGCACTCCTCCACTGTATCACCTCACTTCCCTGCCATTGTCCACGTTCCTGACTGATCCTCCCCATTTCTCTGTTCGGAGCGTCTGCTGATTTTAGACATTTCTACTCCCAACTCAGCCAGTGATATCTTTGATTAGTTTTGGAGGGGCTGCAGGGAGCAGACAAGTGAGAATGCTGACGGTTTGCCTCTATCTACAATATGCAGAAGAAATTCTCTACATCTGTTGGTAGCATATCAGCCTGCTCTGGTTCATTTGTTTTGGTGACGTTTTCTCAGCTAAATGAGAACCCACCGCAGAGATTAATGCAACCTGAAGCAATACGAGAAGTACAAACCCATCTGTTAAGCTCACTCAGTGATCTTCCCACCATTCTTCAATCTCGGCAAGATGGGAATAAGGGAATCAGGACTTGGATTGCTGTCAGATCCTCTTTCACATGGAGGGGGGCTTGCTCCTTTCCTATCAGATACCCCATTTTCTTATGGCTGTGCTGAGATGTCTCCTCTCCCCATCCATCCCCTTCTTTCC